GTAAAGGTTTAGTTTGGGTTTGTTTTGTCCCCGCGGCTGGAGATAAATTGGGCTCCGGCCGTGGCTTCGCCCCTCCCCGTCCGGGCTGGCCCCGCCGGGGGGGCGGGAGTGGGGGTCGCTCTCTCAGGGCCGTGTCCTTCGGGCGCCGCCGCTTCCCCGGAGCCGGTGCCCGGTGCGCTCCGGAGCTGCGGGACCGGGCGCTCCCCCCTCCCGGCTCCGGCCCGGCAGGTATTTATTTGGGGCAATTTTTGGCAATTTTTCTTGCTGAGCTCGGGCCGTCCCTCTTGTCCCGGGATGGGACGGGACAGGGATGGGACCGGGGTGGGACAGAAATGGGATAGGGTAGGATGGGATGGGACAGGGACGGGATAAGACGGGGACGGGACCGGAATGGAACAGGAGGGGGACGGGACGGGACAGGAATGGGACCGGGATGGGACAGGGACAGGGCTGGGATGGGACGGGACAGGGATGGGACAAGGATGAGACAGAAGGGGGACGGGACAGGGACAGGGACGGGGTGGGATGGGACAGGAATGGGACCAGGATGGGACAGGGACAGGGTTAGGATGGGACAAGACAGGGACAGGACAGGGATGGAACAAGGATGGGACAGAAGGGGGACGGGGCAGGGTTGGGATGGGATGGGACAGGGACAGGACAGGGATGGGATGGGATGGGACAAGGATGGAACAGGGATGGGACAGGAGTGGGACGGGACAGAGACAGGGATAGGGTAGGATGGGATGGGACAGGGACAGGACAGGGATGGGATGGGATGGGACAAGGATGGAACAGGGATGGGACAGGAGTGGGACGGGACAGAGACAGGGATAGGGTAGGATGGGATGGGACAGGGACAGGACAGGGATGGGATGGGATGGGACAAGGATGGAACAGGGATGGGACAGGAGTGGGACGGGACAGAGACAGGGATAGGGTAGGATGGGATGGGACAGGGACAGGACAGGGATGGGATGGGATGGGACAAGGATGGAACAGGGATGGGACAGGAGTGGGACGGGACAGAGACAGGGATAGGGTAGGATGGGATGGGACAGGGACAGGACAGGGATGGGATGGGATGGGACAAGGATGGAACAGGGATGGGACAGGAGTGGGACGGGACAGAGACAGGGATAGGGTAGGATGGGATGGGACAGGGACAGGACAGGGATGGGATGGGATGGGACAAGGATGGAACAGGGATGGGACAGGAGTGGGACGGGACAGAGACAGGGATAGGGTAGGATGGGATGGGACAGGGACAGGACAGGGATGGGACAAGCCAGGGAGGGGACAGGATGGGACAGGATGGGACAGGATGGGACAGGGAGGCAGCCACGCTCTCGGCTCCGCGCTCGCTTGAATGTCGATCAATAATTGCACGGAATTTTCTCCCCCTCCAGTTTCACCACCCTCGGATGCGCCGGTGCCGCGGTGCCCTGGCCTAGCCACGCGTGCCACATCCACGTGCCACATCCCCGTGCCACATCCCCATCCACCCGCAGGGAGGCAGCCACGCTCTCGGCTCCGCGCTCGCTTGAATGTCGATCAATAATTGCACGGAATTTTCTCCCCCTCCAGTTTCACCACCCTCGGATGCGCCGGTGCCGCGGTGCCCTGGCCTAGCCACACGTGCCACATCCCCGTGCCACATCCCCATCCACCCGCAGGTGCCCTCTTGGGGGGGGTTCCCCTCCTTTAGCCGCCACGCTGGCCACCCCGGGGGGCCTGGAGGTGTGGGTGCCGGAGCGACTCACCTTCAGCCTCTGGGACTACGGAGTCTTCGGGCTGATGCTGCTGGTTTCCACCGGCATCGGGCTCTTCCACGGCTTGGCCAAAGGTGGCCAGAAGACCTCGGAGGATTTTTTCACGGGGGGCAGGCGGATGTCGGCGCTGCCCGTGGGGCTGTCGCTCTCGGCCAGCTTCATGTCGGCCGTGCAGGTGCTGGGGGTGCCGGCGGAGGCCTATCGCTACGGGGCCAAATTCCTCTGGATGTGCGTGGGGCAGCTGCTCAACACCCTCCTCACCGCCCAGCTCTTCCTCCCCGTCTTCTACCGCCTGGGGCTCACCAGCACCTACGAGGTGGGCACGGAGCAGGGAGGGGGACAGGTATCCTGCCCCGGATGGTGTGTGTCCCCCCCCAATCCATGTCCTTGTTCCTCGTCCCCAGTACCTGGAGCGGCGGTTCAGCAGGAGCGTCCGGCTCTGCGGGACCCTGCAGTACGTGGTGGCCACGGTGCGTGTTGGTGGTACACGGGTGGGATGGGGACAGGGGGGAAGGTGGCACCCGGGAGGGGGCTTGGGGACAGGGGGGAAGGTGGCACCGGGGAGGGGGCTTGGGGACAGGGGGGGAAGGTGGCACCCGGGAGGGGGCTTGGGTCCGGCCGTGCCTGCGTTGCCCCCAGCCCCCGGGGAAGCGTCCTCCATCCCGTGCTCGTGTTTTCCGTGGCTCAAAGCAAACAGCGCCCGGCGGGAGCCCTGTTTGGAATGAAAATTCCCCGTGTTTTCGCAGGGCCTGCGCTCTGTGCTGGGGCAACACTTCGTCCCCGACCCCCCCGTCACCCGCCCGGTGCCCGCGGTGCCGGTGGGACGGGGCGCTGACCCCCCAAAAGCAGGAGCGTCCGGCTCTGCGGGACCCTGCAGTACGTGGTGGCCACGGTGCGTGTCGGTGGTGCACGGGTGGGATGGGGATGGGGGGGAAGGTGGCACCCGGGAGGGGGCTTGGGGACAGGGGGGATGGTGGCACCCGGGAGGGGGCTTGGGTCCGGCCGTGCCTGCGTTGCCCCCAGCCCCCGGGGAAGCGTCCTCCATCCCGTGCTCGTGTTTTCCGTGGCTCAAAGCAAACAGCGCCCGGCGGGAGCCCTGTTTGGAATGAAAATTCCCCGTGTTTTCGCAGGGCCTGCGCTCTGTGCTGGGGCAACACTTCGTCCCCGACCCCCCCGTCACCCGCCCGGTGCCCGCGGTGCCGGTGGGACGGGGCGCTGACCCCCCAAACCTCTTCCCCCCACAGATGCTGTACACGGGGATCGTCATCTACGCCCCCGCCCTCATCCTCAACCAAGGTGTGGTGGGGGCTGCTCCCTGTCCTGTCCCCCTCCCCACCTTGGGGACATCTCAGCCCTGTGTCCCCCCCCCGATGTGCTGTGCGTCCCCTGGGGCTGTGCTCAGCATCTTCCCATCTCCTCCAGTGACTGGTCTGGACATCTGGGCATCCCTGCTCTCCACCGGAGTCATCTGCACCTTCTACACCACCATAGTGAGTGCGGGAGGTGGTGGGGAGGTCGAGGCGGGGGTCCTGGGGGGTCCCTGGTGTCCCCCCACCACTCAGCCGTGGCTCCGTGTGGCGCAGGGCGGGATGAAGGCTGTCATCTGGACCGACGTCTTCCAGGTGGTGGTGATGCTCTCTGGCTTCATCGCCATCATCATCCGGGGGGTGCTGTTGGTGGGGGGTCCCGCCAGGGTGCTGGGCATCGCCACCAACGGCTCCAGGGTCAACTTCGGAGAGTGAGTTCCCCCCCCACACTCCCCCGAC